TCTGGTCCTGAGTGGCCTGTGGTCACCCAGCACCGCCCTGCCCGCCCCACTCCCGCCCTGTCCTGTCTTGTCGCCCGATTCTGCTCCCTCTGGGCGGGGGATGAAAACACAAAGGAGGCCAGAGCAGAGACGCTGCTGGGTTGTCAGGGCATGCTCAGCGGAGGGGGGTCCGGGGCAGGGCCCTCGCTCTGCCAGCAGCTCTTGGGTGGCTCCCGTTACTTTGTGTTTCCCTTTCCCATTTACTGAACCTTTTAAGTTACAAATCTAATACATGTGTGGAAAGCAGGCTGCAGACCTATAGGTGTAATGCGGTGACGCTGACAGAGCAGGGCTGTGGGGCCGGCCCTCCTGGTCCGCCGTGCTGACCGTCTTCCGCAGCCCTGTTTGCGCGTGGACGGGCCGAGGGCGCCAGGCCTCCGCCAAGCTTCACACCAGTGAGATGCGACCGTGGGCTGGACGTTCGTCTGCTGCCTGTGGTTCTGCGTGGGACGTGGGACCGCCATTCTCGGTGGGTGGGCGTTGGGGTGTCTCGGGTTTCCTGGGGTGTGTGGGGCCCCTGGCGTGGCTTTGGGGCCCTGGCGACCTTGACTGCTGGCGGTGCCCAGCCCCGTGTCTGCTGCAGGGAGGACCCGCTCGCTGCTCCAGCTTGCCGGCATCTGGTCCTCGCACAGCGGCGGGTGAGGGGGTTTCTCCCTGCGGGCTCACCTCGTGGTGTCTGTGGTTCGCATTTCCCTCCGTGTTGAGGAGCGGCCGTGGAACTGACAGACTGGCCCACGTGGTCCTGTTCTGTGCAGGGTCCGCCTGTGCCTGTCAGCTCCCTGCTCTCTGCTCCTGTTTGCAGGAGGGATTTGTTATGCGTTCTGGACGTGCGCCCCGTGCGGGCCGGGAGCTTCCCGACACCCTCTCCCGCCTGAGCTTGTTGGCTGCCCTCTTTCTGGTGCTTGAGGAACAGACATCCTCGATTGATTGACTTGTTTGTTTTTAATGGACTATTATTTAGAGCAGTTTGGATTTACCACAAAGTTAAGAGGATGGTGAAGGTTCTCTCACCGACCCTCACCCCCACGCGCGCAGCCTCCCCCACTGTCAGCGCCCCCACCAGGTGGTCCGTCCGCTGCGACCCTGAGCCAGCACTGCCCCCGCCGTCACCCCGGGCCACCCCCGGTGGTGGGCGTCTGCGGGTTTGCACACGTGCGACGACACGTGCCAGCCGTTGCCGTCCCCTGCAGAGTAGCTTCGTGCCCTGGAACTGCTCCGGGCTCCGCCCCTCGGCCCCTCCCCAGTCCCTGCTGCCTCCGTGGTTCTGTTGCTTCCAGAACGTCACGTGGTGGGGGTTGGACAACGTGCGCCTTTTCCGACGGGCGTCTTCCACTTCTTCACACGCATTCAAGGTTCCTCCATGTCTTTTCACGGCTTGGAGGTCACCTCTTTTTCTCACTGAATAATAAAGCAGCGTCTGAGCGGAACACGGTCTGTTTACCCATCACCTGCTGAAGGGCATCTCCGGTGCCTCCAGGTTGGGCAGTTACGAACACATCTTCCGTAAACAGCTGTGTGCACACTTCTGTGTGGACAGTTTCAGCTCCCCTGGGCAAACAGCAAGGAGCACGTGGCTGGGTCAGCCGGCGAGGGTGTGTTCAGTTCCCCTAGGAACCGTCTTCCCGGTGGCTGCACCGTTCTGCGCTCCCGCCTGCGGTGCTGAGTGCCCGCTGCTCCACGTCCTCGCCAGCACTTGGTGTTGCCGGTGTCTGGGTGGGGCCGTTCTGACAGGTGCCCGGTGGTCTGTCCCTGCTGTTTAATTTGCGCCTCCCCGAGGATGTGGTGCTGAGCGTCAGTTTGTGTTTGTTTGCCACCAGTGTAGCTTCTTTGGTAAGATGTCTTTGAAGCCTTTGACGCGTGTTTTTAAAATTGAGTTGTTTGCTTTTTGACTGTTGCGTTTCAACGGTTCTTTGTACATTTCGGTCACAGAGCCTTATCAGATGTGCCTTTTGCAAATATCTTCTCCTGTTTGTGGCTTGTCTTCTCATTCTCTTGACAGTGTCATTTGCCAGAAGTGTTTCGCTTTAACGGAGCCTGGCTTAGCCGTTATTTCTTTGTGGGTCGCACCTTTGGCGTTGGATCCGAAAAGTCAACCCAAGTCCCAGGCCGTCCGGATTTTCTCCTGCGCGTCTTCCAGGAGTTCTACAGTTTCGTGTGTAGATCTTTGCATTCAGACGTGTGATGGATTTCGAGTTGGCTCTTGTGAGGGGCGCAAGGTTTCGTGGAGGCTCGTTTGCGTGCCGATGTCCAGCTGTTCCAGCACGCTCTGTGGAGAGACTGTCTCTGCTCCGTTGTGTTGCCTTCGGTCCTTTGCTGAAGAGCAGTTGACTCTATTTTCGCGAGTCTGTTTCTGGGCTCTCTCTTCTGTTCCATTGGTCTGTCTGTCTGTCTGTTCATTTGGCAATACCAGGCCGTGCTGATTACTGTAACTCCTTTAACGAGTCTTGAGGTCAGGTAGCGTCAGTCCTCCAACCTTGTTTTTCTTGAAGTTCTTGATTTTAATGCAGCCCAATTTTTAGATATTTTTCTTTATCACGAGAGCGTTTTGTTTTATATTTTAAAGAAATATTTCTTCACCCTAGTTCATAAAAATAGTCTTTTATCACAGAGGTCAGCAAAGTTCAATAAGGGACAGACAGGACGCACCTCGGGTTTCGAGGGCCAGCAGTTGTTCAGCCACTGTTCAGCTCGGCCGTCCTAACGTGAGAGAAGTTGGGCACAGGGGTCAGTCAGTGCCGTGACTGGTGCCAATGAGGCTTTGTTAACAGAGCCAGGGGAGGGCCACACTGGCCCACAGGCTACAGCTTTACGTTACCTCCTAAATGCCTCGTACATTACCTCGGAGTTAAATACGTACTGTTCCTAGAGGTAACCTTCTGTGTTACGTGAGCTGGGGTCAAACGTCCTCTTTCTGGAATGCGGGGTTTTCGACAGGTTTGACTTGCCCCAGGGGACGTGTGGCAGTGTCTGAAGACATCTGTGACTGTCTCATGTGTGTGTGTGTGTGTGTGTGGGTTCCCACTGGCAGTGGCATGCAGGCTATAGGGATGCACCTAAATGTGCTAAAGGCACAGGACAGCCCGTCACACAAAACTGTTACCGATCTATAGTATCCGAGAAACAAACAGAAGAACGAAACACAGATGTTACTCTTAAAACCAAAAGAGCAAAAAACTCTGAGATCAGCTCTGACCACATTCTGTGTCAGCAGCATAACCCATCCCACCCCCCACCCCCCATGGCGCCCGGTCAGATCTCTGTGCGGTCCTGCAACGCGCACAGTCAGACCCACCCCAGCTGCTCCTCCATGGTGCACACAGTCAGATGCAGACTCTCCGTCAGCCACGGCCTCGTGTGCAGTTTGGCCCTGCCTGGACCTGGGAGCAGCAAGTTCGCCAACCTGGTCGGCACAGCTGGGAACGTATTGCAGTGTTTGGCTCTGACCTGGCCGTAAGCTTTTTCTTGGCAGCAGTTAGGGTAACCCCTGGCGCCCAGTGGAAGACTAAGGAAACCGCACCAGGAAACAGATGTTGCCTTGCTGTCCCCGGGGAGAAGACGAACCCAAGGTGGTCAGGAGGCCCCAGAGCGCTGGCCTGTCTGTCCCGGAGTCCAGCCCCAGGGCTCTGTGTGAGTCCCCTGCTCTGCTGGCCGTCCTGGCCTTCATGAGCCGGTTGTGGCTGGCCAGGAGGAAGCTCACAGCTAGCCAGGGCAGCATTCCATAAGAACATTCCAGAGCCACCTCCAGAGTGGACGGGAACCAGAGAGCATGGTGAGAATGCTGTGGTGACAAGACTGAGAATTGGATCAGGCTCCAGAGTGGCTTTGGGCTCCTGAGGCCACACGTGGCCAGACGGTGGGCAGCCCAGGTGGCTCCTGGGGGCCACAGTGGGACTGTGTGTCCCACATTCCTTGGAGTTGTGCTCAGACCACTCACCGAGCAGACGGTGTCTGTGCTGGTCCTCTTGGTCAACACCAGGGTCCTCAGGACTGGGCTCACGAGCTCTAGGTGGACAGCCTGAGGCTGTGTCCCTCAGCTCCAAGCCCTGGCCTGACCTGCTCAGCCCATCAGTCTGCCACCCTGATCCCGGAGCCAGCACAGGGGGCTGGGTTTGGGGTCCACTTGTGGTGTGAGCCACACACGTCTACCCCAGTCACAGGTGGAAGGAGATCCACGGTCTGTGGGAGAGGCTGGGTGGGACCCCCCTCCTTCCACGGGGACCTTGGCTGGAGGTGGACGTTTCATGAGGACGTGGGCTCTCCGAGGCCCACGCCTGACCTCCCCCTGCCCCCGGTCTGTGGAAATCTCTTGAAGAGCCTCTTAGACTGGTTTTATGAAGTCCTGAGTCAGCAGAATTCCACCCAGAGGCTGCTGAAGTTGGGGGACCCGAGCGAGCTGCACTGGGGCCCTTGGGAAGCAGCGTGGGCCACGGTGCCTGGAGGAGGAGAGGCTCCCTCTCGAACCAGAAGAGAGTTGGCCTCGAGGACTCACCGAGGGCCTGGCTGGCTGGCGTGGCAAGGTGGGGCGGTCTGGTGGCCCAGCGGGAGAAGGCTGGTGTGGGGTCTCCACGACACTGGTCCATCAGGCGGGACCCCTGGGCCAAGCTCACCTCAAGGGACCAGACCGAGACCTGAAGGTACAGGGGTGACTTGAAAGGACACCGGAGGATCAGGCCCCCGGGGCCCAGCAGGGCTGGCCTGAATAGCTGGGGTGGGCCGCGGTGTCACTGTGACCCTAGGGCTCCTGCTGGCCTGAACCTGCTTTTCTGCTCCCCAGCCACCTCACTACTGAGTGTGTACGTGCACCGCGTGTGCACGTGTGTGTGGAGAGGCGGGTGGGGCCCCTCCTTCCACGGGGACCTTGGCGGCAGTGGATGTTTCACACTTTCTGCGGCCCCTTGGCCTCAGACCTGCCGACGGCTGTGCCGCTGAGCACCAAGGAGCAGAAACCGCCAACACGGGGCTAGAAAGGGTCTGTGAATATTTTATTTTTCCATAGTTCTAGGTCAGAAAGAAGCATCTGGTAATAAAAATAACAGAATCACGTTCCTGGGGCCGCTCTGGCGGGTGTGGGCCTCGGCCCCAGGAGGGCTCGGGCTGGCCCTGAGCTTAGTCCACTATTTACACGTATGTTACACGGCGGAGGGTGGCCTCAGAGGGACGTCGGCCGGGATTCAGTGTTGTGCGCGGGGTCACTGGTGCCCCCGCCTTCCTTCCTGCTTGGAGGAGAAGGCGGGAGGCATGCTGGGCGGGGGCGCGAGCGTCCAGCAGCAGCGGGAGCCTAGGCGCCCGGCGTGATGGGTGGGCAGGAGTGGGAGGTGATGTCGCTGTGCTTGTAGGTGGCCTCGTCCAGGTCCAGTGCCCTCCCGTTGACCTCCAGCGTCATGCAGCCGTGGTAGAATGCTGTGACGGGGGCCGAGGTCACCGGCACCTCTGGCCGCGTGGAAAAGACAGACGTGTCTCAGTGGGCGGGCTGCCTATCGTCTGGGGACTGGGCTCCCCCGCCCCCACGGCCTGCTGGGTCCCTGCGCTCCTCCAGGGCATCACCGTCCCGGCTGGGCCTCCCGACAGACAAGCACTGGACAGCTGCCGTCCGCACCCCCGACCTCCCAGGAAGTGCACACAGACAGTCCAGTCACTTAAACGCTCTCCTCCTGGCTCAGTGACTCATGCTGAGGGCTTCCAGGCTCTCTCATCCTCTTCAAAGCTTTGTTTATTAAACTAAATGGAGTTTGGGTCTGGCAGCTGAGACAGAAATCCTGACATCTGTGGCCTGCAGCGACCACCCCCCTCCCCGGGAAGTGGGGGCCAACGGGCTTCCATGAGTTCCTGGCCTTCATCTGCCCCCTGCACTCTGCCCTCACTACTGGGCTCCATCTGACCAGACATGAGGCCCCTGCTCTGCAGGAGCTGGCTGTGCTGGCCCTTCCTGGATGCAGGAGGCACTGGTGGTCATTCTGTCCGCAGCTGCTGCACTGGGACTTGGGGGGTGAGGCTGGCTGGGGGCACCAGGCACCTGGCTCTGGCACGGCCCCTGGTGGACTGGGCTCTCCCGACCATCCTTGGCCCCTTGGCTGGAGCCCATCTGACACCCGCTTGGGGGTGCTGCGGGGGGCTCCGGGAGGTGGGGTGGCTTCAGCCCGATGCCGGTCCCCAGTGAGTGTGTTCCCATCCTGGCCCGATTCACTGCTGAGCCAGTGCAGACACACACGGGGACAGGGCAGCTGGTAGGCCCACCTGTGTCCTCCCCTCCTTCTGGCACAGACACCCCAGTTCTGCTGAGGTGAGCAGGCTGGGGCCCCTACCTGGCAGTCCCCCAACAAAGGTCAGCACAGAGCCCTGCAGGCGCCTCCCGAGGACGGCCAGCCTCTCCTGTAGCCCCGCAGCGCTCACTTCACTCTGGCCCTTGGTGCCGTCCACCTCCAGGGCAGCCCGGTCCTGGTTCACAGAGATGGTCACCACGTGCTCCTGGCCATCACAAACCTTGATCTCCATCAGGACCAGGGCAATGCTCTCCACGGCCAGGACCACCAGCTGTGGGGAGATGCACACCTGAGCAGGGGAGGGCGGCCATGTGCTCCCGGGCCCTGTGTCCTGCCCTGGTCTGGACCCTCCTGTGGGTGGGGTCCCTGCAGCTGGGCTGCGGCAGGAACTCAGTTTCTGTGCGTGTAAATGACAAGGCCCCTGGGCACGAAGACGGACAGATGGAGCAGTGCATCCTCGGTGGGAGTTGGGGTAACAAGTTCTAGCCACGTGGATGCACGTGCCTCAGCCTGGGCAGAGATGACCACAGCCACCAGCGTGTCCATGGCCAGAATGTGGGGAAGGACTGCTCTCTCCACAGGGAGATGCCACATGGAGCAGCACGCAGGGACCTGGCAGCAAATGCGAACTGCCCAAGAGGCAGCCCAGGTGCACATGCCAGGCAGGACACGCCTCCAACACAGGACAGAGACACTGTGACCACAGGGGACAAAGAAACTGACAACAGGGGACAGAGACACAGATGACATGGGGCAGAGACCCTGTGACAAGAGGTGACAGAGACATTGTAATGACACAAGGCAGAGACACTGATGACAGGGGACAGAGATGTGACAACCAGAGAGAGAGACACTGACAAGAGGGGACACAAGGCAGAGACACTGTGACAAGAGGGGACAGACATACTCTGACAATTGATGGTCCCCCTCCTCCCTCGCTCTCCCTGCCCGGGGAGGTGGTCTCAGCTGTGGGCCTCCAGGCTGTCTACCCCGAGCATGGGACCCTGTGGAGGCCGGGCCTGGCAGGTGAGGGCCCGGGGGGCCTCTTGGCCCCTAGCCCAGGTGAGAGAGTCTGGCTAGCTTGGAAGGCAGGCTGACTTGGGGAGCACGTCCCCCTGGGGCAGCCGTGCCTCCCTTAGTCCAGAGGCCAGAGGATGAAACCTATTTCCATCTCCTCCAGATGCTCTCTAAGAAGACAGCACGTCCAGTGACCACGGTGTGGACCTGGCGTCGGGAGACAGTAGGGAGTGGTGGGGACTGCGTGGAGGCGGCAGCGTGTGGGTCCAGGTCTGTGCTCAGAGCCCGAGCGCGTCGCCCAGGGGATGAGGCTACAAGGCCTGGGCCGTGTCTACACACCTGTCTCCTCCGGGGAAACTGGAAATCTTATTCGCGAGTGGAATTGTCCAGCTTAAGTGTGAGCGATTGGTTCACACGCTCTAAGCCGCTGAGCGGGTGGGAAAGTGTCCCCTCTGCACAGCTGGCCTGTGGGCCCCCAAGTGCAGCTGCCGTGCAGCTGTGTCAGGGACCTCGTGTCCCTGCGTGGCTGGGCAGACCCTGGTGAGAGTCTGGGGGGCGGACCTGAGCCCAGGAGGCGCAGTTGGGCCCAGGGGTGGCTAGCAGGCCGGCCGCCCGGGGACAGTGCTCACCCCTGGGGCGGGGCGGGGCGGGGCGTGGCACCTGCTTTTTGAGCTTCTTGGTGGAGTGGTAGTCGACCAGGGCCACTGACAGGGCGACGGCGTGGTCGTCTCCCACCAGTGCGAGCAGCACGCCCGTGTCAGTGGCGGGGCGAATCCGAGCCATGGCCTCTATCTCCCAGGTGGTCTCGGTCCCCACGTCCGGTGACGTCCGTGCTGCAATGGAGGCGGCGCATCGCAAGGCAATACAAACGAGAGGGGGGCAAGAGTGAGCGAGGCCGTGAGCCCTGGGCTGCGGGGAATGCTGGGCCTGGAGGCAGATGGGAACCGGAAACTCAGTTCTGAGCCTTCCAGGCTCCACCACTGTGTGACCTGACAGCTGGGCCCCTGACTCAGGGCCAAAGGCCCCAGGGCCACCCAAGGATGTCCGTGCCAGTGCCCGCCCTCCCCATCGCCCCTCTGGGTGACCACCAGGCCATCCAGGCCCCCAGGGCTGCAGGCGCAGGTGCACCGCGGGCCGCGGCGTCCACCCCCAGCTGCGTCCAACGTCCTCGCCTCTGGACAGCTCTTCCCACAGAGTGGAGGGGAGGCTGGGGGCTTCCCGGCCCTCCGGCCCCCGCACCTCACCTGTGGTGTTCAGGCAGCTCTACAAGTTGAAGCACTTGGAAGAGTTTAAAAAGCAATGAAAACGGAAGCTGGTCATTCCGACCGCACATACAGTGTGGTGTTCTGAGCCGTGCTCGCTTTCCTGTTACAATTAGCACCTCAGTGGGGTGGTCCTTTGTTCAGGTGTGCTACACACGCTGCAGCAGGTGCACTGGACGGATCATGAACGGCATGTGTAGATCGGGCATCTAATGCACCTGACTGACACATGGAACCCCACAGGTGAGAACGTGGAGACAGAGAGGGCAGAGCCAGAAGGGCCCCAGGAGCCTGGGCAGGAGTGGGCTCTAGAGAAGGGGACGTGAGGAGTCACCCAGAGCCTCCCTGGAACAGGTGTCGGCCGGAGGCCCAGGAGGCCCAGGAAAGCAGGCACCTGCTGGAGTTGCAGACAGACCATACTCCAGTCACCCAGCCAACCCGCTGAAAGCGGGGCTTAGGCTGTGCATGGTGGCCCCTGGGCTGGGCTGCACGGCTCTCCCAACACCCTCAACTCAAAAGTCACTATGGCCCATGAACCAGGCATGGTGACTGTTCTGGGCTCCAGCCAAGCCCCATCTAGGGAAGAGTCGGACAGAACCGTCAGCCACCCCGCAGCCTGAACTGGCCAGGCCGACGTCCTTGGGACAGACCAGGCGACCAGTGTCACTGATTTGCAACAGTCACTCAGTCCACGTAAAGCTGATGTCTAAGTGACTGCTCACTTATCAGCACATGAGAATCCTATGTCTTTACTGTAAATTGTCACTAACTAATAATAAAGGGAAAAAGATAACCGTGTTTTGTTCTAAGAGTTAAGGGCCCGGCTGCAGAGAAGCTGGAGGCACGCGGGGCTGCCCCCCCACTCCTGGTCTCCTGCAGCGGCCTCCCCAGCCCGCCAGGTCCGGCCGCCGTCAAGGCCTGTTCCCATTTCCTTTCCCCAGACGTACAAGGAAAGCTCCTGCGGTGCTCTCCGCACCTCAGTGCCTGGAGGCAGAGCTGCGGGGCCGGCCCCTCCCCCTCCTGGAAGCTGAGCTCCCTGCAGTGCCTGAGGGGCCGCTGCTCCCCCGGCCCACAGCCGTCCACGTCCACGTGCAAGAGCCCAAGCCTGTCTTGTCTCAGACCATCTAGAAAGCACCCCCTGGGACCCCTGCATCTGCCTGGCTGGCTCTTCCCTCCACCCCTGCCCCTCACAGCCGAGGCCAGGAGCGGCCGCCCTGCCAGGTGGGCCTGCGCCCCGGCCCCCAGCCCAGGTCTGAACACCACACTGTGGTCCTAATGGGGACCGTCTGCTGGTTTGTCTGTGTCCCCATGTGTTTCGGCGGCAGGACGACCACGGCTGTCCTCAGGCAGGAGCCAGGACTCACCGTAATCCAGGCTGTAGAAGGCAAATCCACTCCCGGGGAAGAAGGCCCCCTTCTCCGTCACCGAGAAGCACTGCATTTTCACATTCACTTTGACCGTCTCCTGGATGGTGGTGTCCTCACCGTTCAGCCAGTTCCAGCTCCTCATGCAGCCGTCCAGACGGGGGTTCATCTGGAGACAGAGACGCCCAGTGGCTCCCTGGGCACCACATGTGCTCCCAGGTGTCGTGACACTCGCGCCCTCTCGGCTCAGGCTGTGGACACCACTGCAGACGTGGAGGTTAATCTGCTGCAGGGCTCTGCGCTCGACAAAGCCCGAGATCAGGAGTGCAGTGCACGCAGTGGGCCCGCTCCCCACGCAGGACCACGGCGGGTGGGCTTCCCTGTCTGCACCACGTCTCCCCACTCACCCAGCAGACAAAGCGGGTGGGGCGAGGTGACACTCCACGCTGTGCCTGGCACTCTGACCCGGCACCAAGCGCACACGAGGACAGGAAGGTCAGGGGCTGGGGACGTCAAGTCTGGCTCAGCCATACACCCGCCCTATTGTTCTGAGCAAATCCCGATGTCCCCTCAGCCCTCGTCTGTAAAACGAGGCAGGAACTTTGGGGTGCAGGACACCCCTCACCCCGTCTGGAGGGGAGACAGTGCTGCCATGATCCTTCATTTGGAACCTCAGCATGCTGGACTGACTTCTGGTGTGTGGCGTGGAAATCAGAGTCAGGACGCCAGTGACTCTGGCCGTGGATGTCAGTGCGTGGGGCAGGTGGTAGGAAGGGGCAGGACTTTGAGAAATGACCAACACTGACCTCCCATCAGTTTTTTTCTCCCCTTTGGAAGTCCTGGAGGTTTAACAGCCCAAATGTCCTTGACAATTGTCAAAAAAAGTTGACTAGTCTGTTTGTTGAAGAATAATTTCAATGTGATTTATCTCTACTGCAAGATAGACATTTGTATTATCAATTCAGGTGAAAACTCAAATGAGTCTCATAGAAAGAGACGCTGAGTTTACCGACAAAGCTGCACCTGCTGGAAAACGTGTGTCTTCCTCCAGGTCCTCTGCCAAACCTGGTCAGTGCTGCCCACGGCCCTCAGGGTCAAACCCCACCCTCACCCATCCTGGGCTCTGACCCCAGGAACTAACAGCTGTACTTACAGGCTGGACAAGGTCTTTCTCCTTGAAGGGAATGCCTCCTACAGTAAGATTCAGATGGTACAGTCCTCTGTCCAGCTGAAACAGATCCCCAGCCACTGCAATCTTCATAACAGCATCCTTGTTCACCTTGATCACCAGGTTCCGCTCCAGCTCCTCAACAGAGATCTGAAGGACACAGGCGCTGTGAGGGGGCGGGTGCCCCTTCTGAAGGGGCACCCAGCCTTGGGCACCAATTCCTGTCACGGCCTGGGGCCAAGAGACTCCCAACCCCGAGGGGACCGTGCCCATCACTGCATGGGCCCCCTGCCGTCTACGGTGTGGCTCTGGCTCTGCCAGTTTCCCTCCCAGCATGGCTCCTCCCCCTCCCCCCTCTCCTGCAAAGGAGTCCACTGGAGCCACTCCCCTGTCCCTGGGCCCTAAATTAAGCCTCAGCCAGGGAGCTGCCTTCAGGGGGAGGAACTCATGCTCTGCACAGCTGGAGGGAGGAGAAGACGCTCTGTTTCAGAATCTCCAGCAGCTGCTCCGTGTCTGGCAGACTGAATGCTGAGCAAACACACAAATTCATTCTAAAACTTTCCACTCTTTCCTGCGTTCCTCGTAGGAAAATGTAAAAACCTATCACTCTGTACACTACGCGCCCTTCCAATGCCCCAGAAGCCTACTCGTTTCCTTTTTGGCTCAAGGGGAGACACATTTAGACATTCAGGTCTGGATTTGGTGTCTGCACTGGGGGCCGGGGGGCAGGTCGCACAAGAGATGATGGTTGTCGAGCCCGCCCTGCTCCTCCAGGACCAGCTCGCGTCTCGGGTGGGCTGGCAGCTGCGCCTGCCGCCTGGCCGTGCTCCTCCAGCGCCTGCCCCTGGGGCAGTGTCCAGCCCCCTTGGGACACCGCGTGCCCCTCAGCCCGGGGCCCGGTTCTCACGTGCAGAGCTCAGCCCCTGACACGCGCCCCTTGGATTCACTCTTTTCCCTGTAACTTTGCTGAAGGTGCTTCTCTGGCTGCTCTGGAGTTGCTTGGGCTTTGAGAGATCAGGAAAGAAGGAGCTGGGCGTCGCTGATGGGGTGGAAATGTTAGCAAACGTCTACAGTGTTTTTTTTCATGGAGGCCAGGGCAAGTTTTTCCACTTTATCTTCTCTTTTAGAGGAAAAAAGAATGCTTTCCCCATTTCTCCCTCAAGTGTTTCCCCCTAAATGCCCAATTCTGACCCAGGGAACTCTGAGGTCTGGGAGGGACCCTGTGTGTCACAGGCCACTCAGCCCTGGGCACTGTGACGCAGGACAGAGCAGTGGGTTCTCAGGGCAGGTGTCCTGTGTGCTGCAGGTGCCCAGCAGCCCCCGGGCTTCAGCCCAGCTGCCAGGAGCCCCACCCCCACCCCCGTGACTGACAGCACCATCTCCAGACACAGCCAGTGTCCCTGGGGCAGTTGCCCCCCGAGGACCACGGTTCCTGCGGTGGAAACCAGGCTCCGATTATGTGATGAGATGTCACCTGCCCTGCCGTCGCAGGGCCTGCTCACTGCTGAGTGCATGAGCGAGCACAGTGAATGCTGGCCCTTGGCCGGCACCTCGGCCCTGCCCAGGGGCGCAGCGGTGGCACACTCACCGTCTGCCACATGCCGTGGTTGATGACTGGCCCGCTGCTGGTGACGCGGCCAACACCCTGGTAGCGGAGCTGCAGTTCCAGCCGGCCGGCCCGCAGGCCCAGGACGATCCAGGTGCTGTCCTGATGGCCTCCGGCGAAGAACAGGACGCCCTCGGGGTCAAAGGTCCTGAAGTCGAACTCGGCCACCAGCCTGAGTGCCGGCACCAGGGGACGAGCAGGTTACACACAGGTTGGGGGCGTGCGGCCCCTCCCTGCAGAGCTCACCACGGCCCCCTGCCCGCTCTGCGCTCACCTCGTCGGCTGCAGCCGTTTGAAGCGCAGTCTGATCACGGGCGTCCCGCTGAACATGCGGCCGAGGTACAGGGACTTCACGCTCTTGGCCACGTTGAACGGCACGCAGGGCAGGATGTCCTGTCGAATGGGGCGGGGGGAAGCGTCAGGGGAGGCGGCCCAGCCCAGCCCTGGTCACGGGCACCTGGGGCCTGCCGGGCACGCCCCGGCCCAGCGTGGACCCTCGGCCTGCTCCCTGGCCTGCCGTGGGGGCTTCTAGGAGGGGCTGCTCTCAGACATTTCCAGAAGCCTTGGGCTCCTTGCTCATAGCCGCCTCTCCCAGTCTCTTCAGTGCCCTCCCTCCCTGCTAATTTCCCTTTTGCTTTTATGTTTTAAATTACGGAATACTTCAAAAGGACAGAAAAGCATGGAGAACAAAAACAACTAGAAAATGTTGTAAAATAAGTAAGACATAGAAGCCTTGAAGACCGCCTTTTCTAGAAGGTTCCCTGCTCTACAGCACAGCTGGAAGCAGGCAGAGCAGGTCTGCGCCCCAAGGTCAGGGGGTGCTGACTGCACAGCCCCCCCCCCCGAGCACAGGCCACATCTGCGGCGTGTGAACCAGTCGCACTCGGGGCAGGAGTTACCACGACTTCACAAACACAACACGAACCACCGAGGACCGGGAACGGCCTAATCTCCTCCAGCGGCCGGACCGAGGACGCCGGGCCGACGGGAACAAAACGCCACCCACCGACCGAAGG